GCCACTAGGCATGGTGGCGCACGCCTTTAATCTCTAGTACTTGGGAGGCAGAGGCAGGTGGAGCTGTCAATTCAAGGATAGCCTTGTCTACATAGTGAGTTCCAGGGAGACCCTGTCTCAAAAAGACCAAAATAATAATAATAATAATAATAATAATAATAATAATAATAAATAAATTATTTTTAAATGTTGTTATACCTGGGCTCAACATTTTTGTTGTTTTGTGTGTTTGTTTGTTTGAGATAGGATCTCATGTAGTCCAAGCTCATTTCCAACTCACTGTGAGGCTCATCTTGAAGTCCTGATTATGGACTACAATCCTTATTGGGATTACAGGTATGGGCCACCACATGGGCCTGGGCCCAGTATTTAACAAGTGCCAAGAGTGACCAGCAATGTCTGTCATGGTACTACTGAAGGAGAAATGACCCACACATCATGTACAGGGTGAACTAATCTGAAAAAGATAAATCTGAAATGTTCCAAAATTTGAAACGTTTTTAAAAAATTTTACTCCTTTTTATTTTATGTGTATAATTGTATTGCCTGCATATGTATAAGTGCACCCCCATGTCATGCAATGCCCACAAAGGTCAGAAGAGGGTACCTGGAACTCTGGAACTGGAATTACGGATGGTTGTTAGCCTTCATGTGGGTGCTAGAAATGAACCCAGGTCCTCTGCAAGAGGAGCCAGTGCTCTTAACCGCTGAGCCATCTCTCCAACCCCTAGACACTTTGATTTCTAAGTGAATGAGCCATCTCCCAATTTGAAATTTTTTGAGTGCTGATGTGATACTCAATTTTTTTGCATTTTGGAGCATTACAGCCTTCAGATTAGGTATGTTTAACCATTAAAGAATTTGGAAATATGGCCGGGCATGGGGCATGGTGCCTTTAATCCCAACACTCAGGAGGCAGAGGCAGGCAGATCTCTGTGAGTTCAAGGCCAGCCTGGTCTGCATAGTGAGTTCCAGGACAGCTAGCTGGGGCTACAGGGAGACCCTGTCTCAAAAAGACC